CTATCTACTTCGATAGCCAATAGATCCAAACTTACTTATTGATTTCTCATATATTTTACGTGGTATAGAGAACAAACGAAGCGTGAACTACAAGGGTAGGAAGCACTGGACAGCTGCACCGACCTGATTAGGTCTCATCAGCTGTGCGAATAAATCGACCCAACTGGGGATCGACCCCGGGACCTCACAGGCTGGTCGCGAGCAACTACCCACTCGGCCACCAGGCAGGTGATTAGATCGTTTCGCATGTTCCTTATACTATATACTATAATATATTCATTTCAAATCACTTAGTTCGATTTTCGGTGAAAAATAAAGCATTCAGCTTGTATACGAAATTTTGTAACGTCACTTTTCTAAGTTGATATTATCACAAATTAGCAGAATTTCTGCTGTGAAAATGAAACACCTACTAAAAATTTGTTTGATGCGCACTCATTCGCATTTTTTCAACAACAACAAAAAAAAGAACGAGTGACAACTTACCCTCCTTTCCGGGATCTTCTGCAAATACACTTTCCTCATATGGTGTTCCAGGCTGAAGCAAATAATCGCTGGTTCTAAACGAAAAGGAAAACAGATCAGAATAATGTATGGAAATACCATCACCATGGTGATAAAAATTCAACAATCTGTCAGAGCCGACCACTTACCGATTCGTGATGATCACACCTTTCTCGTCGTGAAACGGGACGAGAATCCAACCCAGACTGAGTTCCACGGGATTTTCGTCGGGCTAAAATTTCAAACAATGCAGAAAGCACTTTTATACTTTAGTTTGTATCGCAAATTATACCCGAATAGAACAGGATTGTTTGTTCGTAGTGCCACATGAAATTGTGAACATAATTTGTAGTCCATTGACCTGGAACAGCTCATCAACCCTTTCCCAAGATTTTTACGGATATCGTAATATGCTAATTNCCTGATACTGGTCACATCCATGTGTTGTTTGCAACGTTGACTTTGACTGTGAGCTTTCATTATTGTCTGTCCGATCGGACAGTCATGTTCTTGTTCCTATAGTACGCGTAACAAATCCAACTATTTCGATCATCCATACTTAACACATTTCACATCGCCTGATCACACAAACTGGCACGAACACACGCACACACACACACACACACACACACACGATTGATGTCATCTTTTACCTACTCATGTCCCGAGGACATAGTTATGTTCCCTGTGTTAGATTAGGCCATCACGTTCGAGTGAATATTGTGCATCATTCCACAAATTATTATTTGGCATAATATTGTGGTATTTCGAGACTAATATGTCTCCATTCAAGTGATAACACAAGAAAAATATAAAAAATACACTGAAACAAAAAAGTGTTATTCATGTTATTTTATTCCACTGTAGTTGTTTGATCTCCAGTTCTCGCTAGTTTGTATCGCGATCTCCTATCCTTTGTTATTATTATTGCTGCACTCGCAATATGAAAATTAAAAACAGAATTATCGCATTAGCCACGTGCTTGAATGCGCCTCAATTTATTTACATGAATTATGTTTGGGAAATTCCAGATAGTTTCATTACTTTGATTGTTTACGGTGCAAGTGGGCCACAGTAGCTCTAAGAACAAAGAGAGATTTATCGTTTGAGTATGGACAGGTGCAACCGGATTCAAGTAAAATGAACAATCGAATGAGAAATGTTAATGCAGTATGAAGGGAATCGGTGGCTTTTGTTCTGATATAGAAACAAATGTTCAACCAAGTCATGAGTTGATGTTTCAAACCCTTACCTATCACTTATTGAGATATGCTTAGCCGACAGATGAAACTTACTAAGGATGTTCTGTTAGAAAAATGACCAAATTTGCCCAGTTCGTCACGAAAGGGATACGTATGCAGTAATAGCTAGTCATCGCCCCCCCCCTGTAGCGCTGTCCTTGGAGGATCTTCTGCTTGCTAACCAGGTCGATTTTGGACCGAATCAGTGTTGCAGTCATCCCTTTTGGTATTTATTATTTATACTG